TGTGTGTGTGTGTGTGTGTGTGTGAGAGAGAGGGAGATCCAGGTTATGTTGTGGGGATCTAAATATTGTTACACAGTCAAGTTAAGGGAACTTGTCTTCCAAATGGTGAACAAAAGCAAGTCCCCATAAGTGAAGACATGTTTTCAGGTTAGGTTAAGGGTGGATTTAGGGTTAGGTGAGGTTTAGGGTTAGGCACGTAGTAACTATGGTCAAGGTTAGAGTAAGTCTCCAGGATGTTTGTGTGGGTGGGTGTGGCTTCCTTCTTCTCTTGACATTTCTACCTGTGCATCTACAGTTGATCTTTTAATCCAAACAAGCTGCTGCAGTGTGAAGCCTTCGGCCCGTGGACAGACGTCACGGCCAAGTTCTTTGCTCTCTGCGAGGATGTTTTGTGTTCACCAGCTCTTTCCTTATCCTATGCTCTGCTTGTGCCTCAGAATTATGATGCCTGCCTGCCTCTACACTTTCCACATTGCACATGTCTTCATTTGCAAACAGCCTGTCTGGATCTGAGTTGCCCAGTCCGCTCTGCCCACTCTTCAGTGCTGCAGGATGGTACGACCCACTGCTCTGCTCTGTCGTTCCACTTCCTCAGCCAAATCAGACTGAGAACTCGCCAGCCAATCCACCAAACCCGTCTGCAAATCTCTCACAGTAAACTGCCTTCGAATCCCTTTTAAATTCCTGGTTTGTCATTGTAATTTGGGTTCAAGTGGTTATTATGTGATAACAGTAAATCCCTTCTATTTGTCTGTTCTCTTTGCAGGTTATGTTTGTGCTTAGCCCAGTTGCTATGGTGACAGCAGCAACAAGTAGAGAAATGTGACATAACATAACACACAACTTCATTAATCCTGCAAAAATTACCCTTTGATCAGAGATATTTGTTTTAGATAGAAAAATATCATATTAATCACATCATGTTTGATTCCGGCTGTGAAGACTTCACTTACTGTATCGGTGCACTCTTGTTGCCCTTGTGCCACCAGGACTTGGGTGGGTTGAGGTAGCGACACCACAGCTCCCAGTCAAAGCCCTGGGCAGACAGCGGATACTCCTCTATCTCAAACGTGTCGTACTTGATGTTGTCAAACGATGGTGAGACGATTCGGGTTCTGTCTTCTTTAATTCTCTGCAGAATGGGTTCAGCCCTTCAAATGCACGGATAGAGGATGTCATTTTACAGTGGATCTGTTTTGACAGACTTGAACCATTACTCTGGGCAACTTCATGAGATGATTTCATTTAATTCATTAGTCTGACAAAGTCTGACAAGTAAATACTTCTTTGATCATTAACTATTCATTTAAATATTTATTTGCTAACACTTAATTAAAAATATTTAAAAATATGCATGACTTCCCTTCGACAAGGATGTTTGACAAGATGTGCAATAATTGTGACTATGATATTATTTTAATCAACATCAATAATAAATCATCTTTGTATACAGCACTTGTAAAAAGTCCAGATTACAAACTGAGTCACAAAGCAGTAAATACAATAAATAAGTGATAAAATCATCTGATTCAAAAGAGAATAAGAAAACAGTCAGTAGTATTTGATTTTCAACTATTTCCAGCAAACCCACACAGTGTTAGGACTCAAGAACTACTGCTCGTGCTAACATCATGCTGCTCACGTTGCGAGAGTGACTCACCAGCCGACGTTGAACTCGACGTGGGCATCAAACAGGGCAACGACTGGGGCGGTAGCAGCTCTCCACCCGCTCACTCTGGACCGGATCAGACCCTCCTGCTTGGCATGCCGCACCATCTTAATGAATCCTGGATGCTGGCTGTTGGTTTCAGAAACAAAATCCTGCAGCTTCTCCTTTAGCTCATCTGCAGAGCACACATGGATGCACACACACACAGACACAAATGCTTGTAAACACACTTCCACCCACAATACTTTGTCATGTCCTCCTTCACTGGGCTGTATATTACAGGGTCAAAAGTACTCATGCTTCATTATTTTGAACACTGGACCAGCAGCTTGAGCAGCACAGCTCACCTCCATGGGGCTTAGCAGTCATAACTGGATATTGCAATATTGAGGACTCAGACTGCAATGCTTTTCAAAGCACGGGGGAGGAGGTGGAGAAGGTCCGTTTGGCTTCTAAGTTTACCTCCATTATTACCTGAGCAATATATTGTGTGATGACATACCCTGCAGGATAAGAGTCAGTGCTACCTATAAAATAATCATTGTTCTCCCTACAAGTCCTCTGAGGTAGTAATACTTTTGGCATTTAAAAAATGCGTTAACTCACTGCAGTGTATTGGAGTTTCGAAAATACCTTTTCAGGTGTGAAATGTCAGCAGGAGGCAGCAAGAAGGCAGCAACACCATTATATCACAACTGTATACTGTACTACCACCAGAACAAAGTTTGAAAACTTAAATCAGCACAGAGTTTCATCATTCCTTGTATAAATTACCTGAGGCTGTGTTCTCACTATTTCTCTTTTAACCTGTGGGGAGCCTTTCCAGTTCAAAGGGAACATGGAGCAGTAGCAGGCAGCCAGAAAGTGGCCACTGCGTTGGCAGGGTGAGGCCTTGTTATGAAGTGGAGAAAAACTTTGTCTTTCAAATACAGCTACACTGGAAAATGTTTTGTTGAAGTAGTCAATCTGATTTGTTTCTGTGACACACAAACTGTGAACATCCTGAAATAAACCTTTCATCCAGGTCACATAAAGGACCTAAAGCAGCGTATGGAGATTCTGCACTGTCATTTTTGTTTGTTTCAGCAGCTGTATTGTTAATACATTTAGTCGGTTTAGTTGATAGTCAGTGTTGGCACCTGTAAGTACAAACATGTCAATGAGCCTCGATAACATCGATATCTGAAACCAGTTACATGTTTTAATGTTGTGACTGACCGCTGCATAACATCTCATGTCCTTTCATCAGCAAGTGTTTGAGGAAACTATCTTTATTCTTATGTGGAATTATAGCTCTTACTAATTCATCCAAATCATTTTCTATACATAGCAAGAGGAGGCATACTGTGCAGACATGTCTTCATCTGAGTAGATATAAATAAACTACCAGAGGCTTTTTACTCTAATAGTACGTTAGGGGAATGTATGTGTTTTTTATAAGGAATACGAGAAAACACAGAACATTACTGTGCCTGTAAATGAGTCATTAATCAATACATTATTGAGTGACGAGGTTTTTGACTTTTCATGTCAAGGACAACGAGCAGGACCTGAGTGCTGTGGAGTTTTCTTTTATATCTTTACATTCACTGCTCTTCCACACGGTGTATTGAAAAAATGCTTGATAGATTTCTGTGCTTTGTTCACAACTGTGTTTTGTTGTGTGCAGCTTCACTGCCTCTGTTGTGACTCCACTTCTGTACGCATGACAGCAACATGGGTCAAAGTCCGTATGGCTCCAGTTATGTGTTTTTGTCGTTTTCATTTCTTTTCCCCTTTTTATTCATTGTCTTTTACTTCACTCAGTACCTCTGCCTGTAACTGTGACTTAATATTTAACATTAAAAAAAACAACTATTACAGATGTTTTCTCAGGTTCCTCGTCCATGTGCACCACAGCAATTCAAAATTGACGCAGGATACTTTTAAGTTACAATATACTGACATATCTGTTACCTTAATATGTCTTAACTCTTCCTCGGGCAAAAACTGATCTCATGAGTCATCTAAATGACAATAGGCATAAATACATGATTTCAAAAAACCATATCTGAGTCAGAGATGCTAATCATACTGGGGATGTTGCTTGAACTGCTGCTATCTGGAGCAGAATAACAGTCACTCTACATACACTCCATGCAACACGGGACTATGGTGGTTTACATGTATGTTATGTTGTATGTTAAGTATGACAGTTCCCACTCTGAGGAGCGAGCGATGATCAGTTTCTACCCTTCCTGTTGAACTGCAATCAGCTAACATCTGCAAGTTGAAATCTGCCCTTGATTAGATATGAAGGACATAAATCAGAAGGACGTGGACTGACAGGTTTTTTTTTTTGTAAAAATTATTAATAAAAATTTGGACCCTTCTGCTAAAAGAAAAGCTGCTGTAGCTGGCTACCTTTCATAAGACTACTGTATATCCGTAATAACTCTCAATCCATTAATAATTGAGACATTCTGCTGTGCGAGTGAATTAAGAATAAGAAATATGAAGTGTTATGCCGCACAGCAAATCAAAATAAAGCACAGTTTATTACACCAGGAACGGCTGATGGCCAACGGTCATCAATCTCTCAGGACTGATATCCTGCTGCAGCTCAGCAGGAAGGCAATAGGCTTTGTGATTTGAGTTGGACCGGAACATCATGCAAACAAGTTTCTAAAATCAGCGTGAAGTAAATCCAGCAGCATTATCCTCAGTGTAGAAAGAAAACATTCAAAGGTTTGTCTCAGAAGATAAAGAGCAAAGGTACTAGTGAGGGACAAAATGATGAACACACCATTTAATTTGCTGTCCCCCTCAGTGCGATATACAAAATGTTTATGTATAACTACCAGAGTATGGATAGCGTTTGTCTAAATTCATGAAGTCCTACTGTGAAACCTGTACATGCAAAATAAATTGTCTTCCAAACCTGATACGGGTTTAAAATATTTTTGTTAAGCTTTTCTCTAAATGTGCAAAGATTGTTAATGTGACAGCTTCATATGCTGTTAAACATTTATATATACTGTACATTTATATGCATTTCTGTGTAAAACCAGACATAGGATGTGTTATTGATAAAAACGATTTTAGAAAACTTTCGTTCTGTTGCTGCTTCACTGCTGTTTGCTACTGTATGAATGACCTGCTCTGTCTAAGGGCTGGATACTCAATGTTCTCTTCATGCAAATTGTTCATCACCATGCAGGCGTTACTGCTAGCACAGCAGATGGCAAATCGACATGGATGCAAGTCTCACTGATGCTGTGTAGTTTGCACAGCGCAACTTGCCAATTTTTCACTTCTCAATTCTGCAGTTCTGAAAATCTTGGTCTAAAATATCCGACTGATTCTCAGCCTCCCTCCACAGTTCCACCAGTCTTGTATCAAACCCTGGCAGTTTGTTAAAAAATGTGAGACGCGTGTTGCTGAAGTTCCAGCACGTCTTGTAGTTCAGAGTTGGCAGGACGTGCAGTAAACACAGCTTAGTTGGTTTTTGCTGACCTCCCTCCAGCTTTTGTGTGACCTTCATGTTTCATTGGCTGCACCTACAGCGACTGTTTGCAGATAATCGTCTGGTTTCAAACAGTTGCTGGAACTTCCCTGAACACCTGAGGTGAAGTGAATGAATCCACATTATGAGATTATGAGTAGCCAAAGAATCTGTTCAGTAAAAAATATGTCACATGCTGTAAAAGCTTAACTTCGATATACAGACCACTCTCGACAAAAAGATTGAGCTGAAAAGATAAGCTGCAATTGAAAGAACAATAATCAGCAAAAAATGGCTAAAAGAATCTGTGTTTTCAGTCGGGAAAGGATTAATTGCTTTCTTTCTGAGTGCTTTTGTAAACTAGGAAATATATTTCCATTTTAAATGGAAAAAGAAAAATGCAAAACAGACTTTCAGGGACATTTTACAATTGTCTGACATTTTTTCATGGACAAAAGATATTTTGATTGAATTGAGATGCTCATCACCAAAACATTCATCCTCACCTCGATTCACAATGTATTATTATTTCAGATATAATTTGTTACCATGGTGATGCAGAAGCAGGAGCCGAAAGCTCCCTCAAATTTTGCAATTCATTTTCTTTGCAGTTTTCTCATCTTTATTACTTGAAGCACTTTTTTACTAATGATTGAAACACATGAATGCAGGAAGCACTAAACTGGAATAAGTTCAGCAAACCTTCAGCTCATCTCCTCTATAATTTTGTTGTGCAATCTTCCTATGCACAACAATAATTAAATTGAATTTTGAGTCTCGAATGATTTAAGGTTTCATTTAAAGTAACAAATCTAAGTCCTCTGACAGCTGCTCCAATGAGTGAGCCCTTCTCAGAACCCTGCTCATAAACAGAGGAGCCTTTCTCGGGCCACAGCTTGGGACATTATCCAATTAAGGCGGAATCAGCTAGGTCAATTTGCCCTTCTCTCCCTTGACGGCGACACATTCTCCTGCATGCTAATGCGTCTCGGAGGTGAGGCATGACAGTGGCGGATGACTAATATAAAGATGTGGATGCCTGGGAGGGTGGCTGTGGACGATGACCCCCTTCAACAATCTCAGCAGCATCACGGGTCAACAGGCTAACGACATTTAGCACTGATAAGATTCAGTCATGGTAATAATGATAACACTGGGCCTATCAGTCGCACTGTGACTCAGGCAAACAGGGTGAAATGCCATCAGCAAAATGTCAGTGCATGATTTGGATGTCTGAAGGAGCTGAAGGCAACTGCTCCAAGCTCTCAATTATGTGGTGAAATATGAATTATCAAGAGACGTGATGTGATAATCCGCCTGTGTTAGAATGAGTGAAAGTAAACATTGGGGTTCCCACATTTAGATTTTTTAATGAATGGTTAACTTAGGATGTATTCAACTTTCTCGTTAAAAATAGCCTGACGAAGGCAGATCATTCCCCTTCCAACACATTGAGATAAGTTACCAAGACAAACACACGTCTATATTCTGCTCCAGAAAGCTACAGGCTGTACTATATTCTTTGCATTATTGACTTTGGTAAACGTATCCTCCCCAGTTCCAGTATTTCCAATGTTGATTGCCCCTAATGGTTGTCTCAGTCCTTTTTACAGGTGGCACAGCCCATATAAAACTATATTGCCTATAAATGACCTTGGCCCAATCATTACCTTTTTAGAGCCTGTGTTCTGTCTTTGTAATGCAGTTTAAGACTTGCACTGTTCACAACTAAGTAAGTACCAGTATTCTCACTCATCAGTCATCTCCGCAATAACAAGTTAACGGAGCTCAGCATTTTTACATTTTCAGCATACACTGGAAATGATTTAATCCCGATACTGTTTACCCTACATCCGATGCATGCAAATGTGTGAATTAGGGTTGCAAATGCAGACAAGATATGTGCAAACACTCCATCACCTTGCTCGATTGTTATCTGCCTCAGGGAAAATGTCCTGGCTTTGTAGCTAATTAATGTTATTCATCTATCTGTTAAATCCAGTGAACACAGCCTCTAATTAAAAACATTTAAGGAGTCTAGAGGCCATGAGATGAGCAGCACATACCACAGATACAGATTTCACCTCTCAAGAGGTGTCGATATGCAAACTATAGGATAAAGCTGCTGACTATTACTTTCTAGGATTTGACAAACACACATTATAATGAAGGATAAATCTGACAGATTTAACAAACATATATCACATTATGTCTGCTTCTCTTTGGTGAAATGGCTGATGTCAGATGGTAGTAATCATGATGCTACTCACAGCTTTTTGCCAAAACAACATTCTCCAACAAGTCCTCACCTTTGGTTGTGCAGTTCCACACATGGCATCATGTCCCTCCCTCAGCAATAACGCAATGCACAAGAATGGCTAGCTGGGTGTGATCATTCATTTCCTTTCTTATGATTCTTTAAAATTCTCTTGAAAACGGAACCCTTTGTTGTGTTGTTTTTTAGACAGTTGCCATGATGCTTGCGGTGCAGCTATGAAACATAACAGCGATGCCAACATGTGAGTTTAATTTACCCTGAATGTGTCCTGCAAGCTTACAACCAGATGGGACCACTGTCAAGGACGTGCTAGTCTACAATTCTATTGTCTTTTATTGCAGAAAAAAATATTGCTGTCACAAGAATTGTTTTATATATCTGTGTTTCTTCTTTTATGTTCATGAAATGTGCTATGGGCCACATATGCCCCAGAAGCTGGATGTTCACCAGCCCTCACGCAAACAAAAGCAGACTTTTTATTTTCACCATGTCAGTTTTACGGCTGAGATTATATACTGAAGGTAACTCCATGAGTCTGAAACTCTGACAAGCAGAGACAAGTGGGAGCCCTCCAGTGAGGTTACAGAGGTTGGGTATGGTAGCCACATTATTGACAGTTTTTATAGGGACTATTCTTGCTGTACAAAGTAGTTCCACTGAATTGTTGTGCTGTGTGGACCTGGACTGTCCAGAGTAACAATGGCAGTGTTTCTGAATTGAGACATTAATGCAATACTATTATTTGTTGATATTTTGGAGACAGATATCTCAAATTGCATCTAACCATCTAAGTGGCCACATACCACAAGGCAAAAGCAACATTTTCATTTTCATATTTTTACATTAGAAATGGGTTTATTTGGGTGAAGTGACCCTTTCAATGAATTTAAGGGACACACATTTGTACAACTAACTGAAAAAAGATTTTCTTATTACAATGCAACATAAACTGTGCATTTTAACAAACCAAATAAACTATAAGTTCACTATAAGTGAACAGAGGAATTTAACTGCTGTTTTATAAAATGATGCTGCTTACTGTTATTGCTGTTGTCATCCACCAGGATTATCTCTTTGAGAAGATGGGAAGGCGTCCTGTTGATAGCAGAGTGAATGGACCGCAGGATGACAGACAAGGCTTCGTTCACAAAAATGAACACTATGCTCACTTGAGGAAGGTTTAAAGGATAAGTGATGTTTCTGCACCTGTGAAGGATAAACAACAAATTTGTGGCGAGGCGACATTAAGAGCTGCATCGTGTCTAAAGTATAAAGTATTAAAATTGACATTGATCCTGAGAAAGTAGGGTAATGTCGGCTTTTCATGCCATAACAGCTACTGGAAAGATGAGAACAGGACACTGCTTTCATAAATGGCAAAAATCTAGAAATAAAGTAATTGTGCTACTGCAATAGTTGTGGGAGATAAATGAATGATTGTGTGGTCAGGTCTGCCATCACTCAAGATCCTCTGTTTCCCTTTTAAGACATTGTTTCTTGCTACATGCTGACATTTTCATTTTTAATCAGTAGTCCAACCACTTCTTCAAGGCAACTGATGCCTGTTTCTTTTTAAAAAAACGCAGAAAGAAAATTCTGTAAAAATATGACCTTAAAAATAGAGGTAATGCCTAGATGAAAGTTTTTGAATCAGATATCCTGATGTTTTTTTATTGCAATGGCATAAATGCGTTGTTTAATCAAAACCTTTGCAAAATAATCTTATTGATATGACCATTTGATTTACTGTAAAGAGTTCATTTTCAGGGATACTGACATCTTACCTGCCATGGCCATTACCACATCATGCTCTGAAAACAGCATGTTCTATATGCGGAAAAACATGGTGCTACATTTGGTACAAGGTGTGTGACTGATAAAATCCCTGGAACAGTTTGGATAAGCGCACAGAGCCAGCACTAGTGTGGATGGATGGTCTGAGGGGAGTTTATTGATGTGCATAGGAGAAAATGCAGATCTTTGAACTGGGCAGACGTTTGCACCAAGATGTCACTGCGTGTGCTGCCGTAACCTTGGTGATGTCTACATGAAAGCTGGTTTCAAATCTGTGTCGCAGTCAACCAGTATGATGGTGTGGAAAATTGTGGGGGAAAAAAACCCTAATCAAGAGTTTTCTTCTGTCGACATTTAAGTAACTCAACTGCAGGTGGCTCTACTGAATGCTATAGGCTAAAGCAAATCTGTTGTTGGATTTTAATTAGATTCACTCTGTGATTTAAAAGGAAACAGCAGCCTGGTAGATCGAGTATATCTATTGATGCTAGGATTGAAATCATTAGTAAGTTACTTGTTTGACATATAACTAATTAGCTATTTTCATAATCACCACTGCAGCTGTTGTTTACATCACCATTTGTTTGCTCTCTGTCTGTTCAGCAGGATTACTCAACAACTAATGAACCAATTTCCATGTCAGGGTTGGACGTGAGGAAGAAACCGGAGTTGATACCAGCTTATCAAATGTAAGAATGTCTCTGTCTATACAACAGCTAACCCATCTACAGTTTGACTCTATCAGTTAATACAAGTGATTTGAAGATGGCACAGTGGGCTCTGGGAAATCACAGTATAATGGGCATGAATTTACAGTTGTGTGACGTTTCATAGACACATCCTTAGTCTATGTTGGATCACCAATGTTTGAGCACCACTCCACCAACCCTCTTACCCTTCAGGCCTCAGGTCTGATGTCGGCCTGTCTAAAGAAAGACGATCACTGAGGTAGCCGTTGTAGCCGTAGTACTGGAACATCTTCAGCGCCACTCGCCGGTTTTCTGGACTCAGATCCTGACCCCAGCGAGCGAACAGTGACGAATCAGAGAAGGACGTGTCCGCCTGACCATCCTCTCTTCTTCCTGGAGTCTCTAGGAGGCAGAGGAAGACAAATAGCATCAGTGTTTGTCTGGGCCACGGCTTCTCAACCCGCGGGTGAGTCTTGTGCGAAAGATGACATTTCAGGAATGTGGAAAAATGATGGCGCTAATAAAATCACTGTGATAAATGTTGTTTTCCTTGTGCTGTAATGTAAGTATGCAGGGTGCAGGTGAGGGGTCTGACTGGCTGTCCTTCTACAGAAGCATGACAAGAAGCTGTTGTGCCCTTGAACAAAAGATTCAATCCCCACCAGAAGAGTGAGTTGTTCTGTAGCCGACTTTTCTCTTTGACCGACAAAGAGAGCAGAAAGTCAACTTAATTTCCCTAAACTTTATCACCAGAGTGAGACGCACAAGTTTGCTTTAATCAAGTGTGATCATTGTGGGAGAAAGTGTAGCTGTTACCGTGTTTTTCTCACAGTGCATTAGAACCCCTTTAATATTGAGAGATCTGAAAATGAGAGCAGTCCTGACTCATTTTACGGCCGAACAGCAGTGACAGCGCAGCTAGGAGAGGCATTTAACAAACACTAGTTCAGTGTGACAATATTACTGCTTGTGGTCCTTATTGATAGACTCAGTTCATGTCCAGACTCCATAAAAACACTGGTAGCATCTGTTAAAAATTCTGTCCTGCTTCCAAGATGTTTTAATGCACTTTACGGAAGCAAACATCGTAACAGCCGACAGGGAGTTGGGGAGCTTAACCCGCAGGCTTGTGCTGTAAATGCCAAGGATGCAGTAGATAAAGTAGATAAAGACACTGTAGAATCATCATGAAGAATATATGCACAGGTTAAAAAAAATTGTAATTGATGATTACAGTGTCTGTTTCTGAAATCTATGTGTACACTTTCTTTGTTCCCTAAATGAAAAATAGCACAATAGCTTTTCACAGGTTTTTCAGCAGCAGTTTCACTGAGTCCTTGTATCTGTTGGGACATTATGCAATGTGTCACAGTCACACTTGAACATCCCATAGCTTTACTGTTGATGCAAAACACACTGATATTTCTGGTCTGTGGAGAGCATGCTGGTGACTCAGTGAAGATTTGGACTGAATAGTCACAAAGATTGTTGCTTCTGTTTCGTATATATAAACAAATGTAACCTCATATAATCTATACTACTGAAAACAGAAGGAAATAATCAGCAGGGATGGATCCAGGGGTGGGGCAAGGGGGGCATTGAGCCCATCTCCCACTAGATCACTTACTAACACTTCTAACCATAAATAAGGTTGTTTATTTTCTAAGCCTTTTAAAAGAACACTATGTGCATCAACAAGGAACAATTTCCAAAATACATTCAATGATGTGCGGCTTTACTCAAAGCTACAGAGCTAACAGTAAACAGGGACTTAAATGTGCAACTTCCTGAATCAGGAGTTGTGCATGGATGTTGGACATGTAATCAGACACTCTGTGTTAATCGTGGCACCTTTATTGCCCCTTATTTAGAAAATACCTTAATCTGCCAGTGAATCAGAGATTTTTTTATAACATTTATTAAAACTTATTTTATAAAAATGTATCTAATTGAAAAGGTCAACTGTTAATTTAAAATATTCTAATCAACACAAAATGAAATCTAATGAAACCTCTTGAGTAATAAAAAGACCAGTTCCATTATAAATCTTAAGTATTTCAGGTTGTTGCTGACAGGCTGAAGTTATCAAGAATAATTCACAAACTGCTAAATATAATATAAACATCCATGTTTTTAGTTTTGAGTTAAATTAAATATGACTAGGATGTGATAAAAATGTGATTCCTTTAAATTGATGTTATTTCTCATATACAGTGTTATTCAGGCAGTTTTAAATCTTTATCTGTCTTTTGAGGTTTAAAGGTGAGATCAGGATAAAGATGAATAGACACTAATGACTGCAACTAAAATCGTTCTATCTCTGGCATAAAATTAGTGACAAATGAACATAAACTTAGAATCTTCAAATACCCACAACATTACTGTGAAGGGAGAAGCCCATATGCAGAGGATAAGGTTAAGTTTTGAGCAGATTGGGAAAGATTAATATTCATGAGAAGACTGTTTTAACATGCGAGTGACAAACTGTGTGAGCCAAATAAGAACTGACACCACAATATGGAGGCTGGTGTGAGGAGGTTACATTATGAATCAAAACAAAAAGAACTGCCTGTGAAAAAAGTAGAAGCTCAGAATATTTTATTTGGAAATTGAACAAAATGACTGTCAGTACTTAGTAATTTAGAGAAAATCAATTTTGTATTGCAAGTTTAAAGGAAGAATTCAACATTTTGAGGAAATGTGTTTATGTCATCTTGCAGTGAGTGACATTTATTTAAATATTTAAAGTATTCATGCAATCCCAAACTAAAAGCATTTTGGGGAAGTGGGTGTGATACCCAATCACTATTTTAGGAGGTATTGTTACAGTTCTGCGTACAATGTGTGATCCAATATAAGTTCTTACTGGAACACTGTGTGTAAATTTTAACAGGGTAGTGCTAAGGTGGAAAATGACATTGAGGTTTTACAGGCTTCATCACTTTAGTAGCTACGAGCAGACTCACTGGCTACAGGCTGCAGCTGGAAGACAAAGACTCAGAGGCAGAGAACTCACTGGAGGTAAGACTGAGTTCAAATGTCTGCACTGACAGTCCTAAAGGTCATAAAGGCCAACAAAGCAAGAAGGAGGGTGGCAGGACTCAAAAAGCAGGGAAACTATTGAAGTCAAAAACCCACAGAAGCAAATAAAAGATGGTGTGGATCCCTTCCCAGCTCAACCTATCCTAGGATTCATTGCATTTTGGTGACGAACCGTTTGTCAAAGCGCTAATGACACCTGCAAGTGACGAGACGTTCAATGCTCGTATCACGCTTCAAATCAACCCAACAGCTGTTGGAACAAATGTAAAAAAAAGGTGCAATATGACTTTCTTGTTGTGTTCAACTTCCGCTCTGTTGCTAGGCAACAACAATAAGCACAAGCTCATGACAGCCATCACGGAAAGTGTCTGTAGACCAGGCCGTCTCTTTTCCGTTTGGCCTTCATAGTCTATGCAGCCCACAAAGACCACGTCCTCTGAAGGAGATGGCCCTAAACTGGAAGCTGGGTAAACAAATATAAAGATACTACTCTTCCCCACATAACGTTAGATTGTAGTGATAGAGTCTGCATATGTTAAAGCTCTAGCTCTAAAAGTTACCACTGATATATTCAGAGCTTAAGGTACAATACTAACTGTGACATTTTGGGAAACAACACAGCTTTATATGATGATTTATGCATTTTAGTCCAAAGGTGTTACAACCACAATAAAGAAATACCTGTGGAACCAAATCGGTCATATTTACAAACACCACATGTGGACCAGTGTTGTGAACAAACACTTATTCATCTTTTACAATGAATTTTACAGTAACATAGCTGAAGAAAAAAGTTAACGAACATCCAAGTTGAGAGAAAAGTGCAGCGTGAACGTGAGAAGCCTGAGGCGGAATAACTTCAGCTGCTCACATTCAACACAGCTGTCAAAGTTTCTGTGCTGTGGAGCAGAGGAAAAGTGTCTCAGCTCTTTAGAAGGCAACGCTGTGATTGGACTAAGGACAAGATAAAAAGTTCTGAGTCTTTCAGTCCTCGCAAGTTCGCCTGAAGGCCCATTCATGTGGTGGGGATTAATTAAGCCTACAGAGACAGTTCGCACAGAAGTGAATCCCTGAAGCAGCGGTTAGGCCAGGTTAGTGTTGTTTGGACAAGGTTACCTTGGCAACTGTCTGTTTAGCATGTTGTGTGAGTGTCATAACATACAATGGATGTCCGACAAGCATGTTAGTGCCTTTGTCATGGCTCACATCAAAGAAAACCATTTTTCATGACTTGTTTTTTCATCAAGCAGGTCATGTGACTTACGTAACCTTGCTGTTTGCAGAAGTGTTTCCCCTTGAGTACACATTCAGTCAACTAACCTTGGTGCTAACTCAAGCAAAGCACAGCCAAATACCTGAGGCACAAACTGGTGTGTGTGTGTGTGTGTGTGTGTGTGTGTATGTGCAGACAGGAAAAGTAGTCCCTAAGCTTCCAGGCGTGTGTGGATAGCAGCACTAAGTGTGCTCCCATTGCGTGCACAGCACAGCAAGGCAACAGTCTGCCACAGAGGAGAGAGAGAGCAGCAGGAGAAAAGATTTGCACATTCAACGTACACACACTCATTAACACAGGCAAAGACAAAAACTGCTGAGGAACAAACTGAAGAGGAACAACAAACCTCCGGGCCCTGCATTAGCTTTGTTTTTAAATGCACGGCAGCACATAGTAAATTATTAAATTGGATCTCATAAAAGTTAAGTCCACGGTAATGAAACAGCAGGACGCACAAAAACTCCATCAAATTATATTTATTCATCCCCTCCTGCCAGTCCAGAGGAAAATATTTTGAATTATCAATCTCGACACCTCATTAGACAACTCTGTCTCATGCTATGCTAACTCGCGGTCATTCAGATGGAGACCTTTTATAAAGATGCTGTAGGCCTGAATTTTTTTACTCTGAAGCCGACACTTTAGTCTGGGAGAGAAGATGGAAACATTTGGCCGATGTAACAGTTTCAGTGAAAATCAATGAAAAGGTAAAATCTCGGTCAGAGGATCTATACTGTACTAAGTACCTGTAAAACAGATGCTGGACTTAGGACTTAAGCAATGCAAAGAATGTATTTATTAATTTTATTCAACTAAAGGGGTCAATCTCTCTTTTTCTCGTGTGTCCAAATATCAAAACAGTTTTCCGTTGTCGATATATAGTTGATAGTGTTTTTAGAGGCCTGAGATACAGTGTGTGCATGTTGCTGTTCTACAGAATGTAGGTAAAAGGTGAAAACAGGTAATGTTGTGTGTCATTATGCTATAGCCTGAAGGCACTGTAACATAATGGTGCATTGCCAGTGCTTCAGGTACATTGCAGACCAGGCGTCTGAAAATGAAAGCACATCTGAAGCAGTTGATGATG